GTCTTGAGCAGGCCCCTGCCCCTCCCTGGGGCTTTTGCCACTGTGTGTCCTCTGGGCATTACCCTGCTCCTGGCCACCTCCTGCCCCCCACCCACTTGCACAGGGTCACTGTGCGGCTAGGTTGACACCTGCTATCTTGACGTGCTTGTTAATGGCTTTTATTTTCAGGTGCCTCCATTTAGACGATAGATTGTGTGACCTCCTTTACATTTACAAGCTTTTCATCTAACTGGCACTCTTTAGCCATAGGAGTTCACTGACCGCAGGGTGGGGGTCAGGAACACCCCCCGCATACAGGTCAGTGCCTTTGAGCCTCCTGTTTTCCAGCACTTTCCCTGTGTGCCCTGGAGCTTTGGTTCCCATTCCTCTCCCCATCACACTGTAGCTGCAGACTTAGGAGCTCTGTGTCTTTATTTACCCTGATGCAGTCCCACAGCCCCTGATGCAGTCCCACAGCCCCTGACGCAGGGCAGGGCCGTTGCCCGGTCAGAGTACGCGGAGTAAATGGATGGAGGTGCCGGCTCTTCCTGGGCGAGGCAGGAGGACCTGCGGTGGCCTGCTGTTCGGGGAGCTGCTGACAGGGGCCGGTCCAAGCCCAAACAAGCTGCCTGTGCACACCCTGCCATCCACACCCCCGGCTTGGCCGCCCCTTCAATTATTCATTGTCTTTCTCAATGAGCTTTGTGTTCAGAAGCCAAAAGAGACCAGAACTCAAGCTCTTTCTGCCTCCCGAGGCAGAGACTTAGAATAAAACCCAGCCCGGCCCATCCTGCGTCCCCAGGGAGGGAGGGGGTCCACGGCCTTCTCCTCTGGCTGGATGTGGGTGCTGGAGGCGATTAGCAGCTCAATGCCCTGGGCTGCCCTTTAGCTGGTCTCTGGCATTAGTTGTACCTTTTTTTTCTTTGGTACTGGGAATCAAACTCAGGACCTTGCACTTGCCAGGCTGTGCCCCTGAGCTATATCCTTGGCCGTCTCTGGCTTTAGACTGGTGCGGGGATGGGTACTGGGTGGTGGGCAGAGCTGCGTGGTCAGGGCTGAGTTTTTTAATTCTGCAGCTGACCTGGAAGAGCCTCTGCCCCTGCAGAGTGAAAGGGTTCAGGCTTTGACATCCCGTAGACCCCGGTTCTGATCTCGGGTCTGCCTCTTGGTAGCTGAGTGACTGTGGGAAGGCTGCTGCCACCTGTGACCCTGGTTTCCTTCCCTTTAGCATAGAACTGTTGAGCAGATTGGCTTCGGGTTCCCAGGCCTCATCAAGCGGGAGTGACTGTGACTAGCGAGTGGTTGTAATGACCAGGATCTCTGAGCAGCCGCAGGGTCTTAGTCCTTTTCTCCCCTCGCCCGGGGCTCCCCGTCTTCGTTGGTTTCAGCAGTGCCATCCTTACACCGAGGCCAAACACCGAACCTTCTAACAAGGTCTGGGGGCGGCTGCAGCAGTAGCAGGCTCCCCTGGGCTGTACCTGCTGCCCGGGACCCCCTGTGGGGAGGAGCGAGTGCGAATCCCTGACTCTGGCGGCCCCGGGCTTCCCAGCAGAGGGGCTGCGGGTCTGCCTGCAGCGCTCCTTCTCCCCCAGATGGAGATGTCCGCAGACAGCCTTCCTGTCCCTCGGCTGCCTGTCCCTTGACCTGGGCCGGCCGTGCTGAGGTGTTGGCTGCGTGCTTCCTCAGCAGGCCTGTTGTCCTGGGCTCTTGATTCCCCCAGCGGCTGAGGGTTCTGGTGGATGGGGAGGCGGGGCAGTGATGGCTTTGGGCCATGCTGGCCAGGGCGGGGGTGCTGTTTTCTGTGGCCCCCCGGATGCCTGTTCCTTAAAAAGGGGCTTGAAGATCCATCCTCCCCTCCTCTCCTCTCCCCTGCCCTCCCCTCCTGGCCCCGTCTCCCGGATTGGGTCAGGGGGCTGGGCTGTGAGGCCTGCCTCACCTGCAGGAACTCCCAGAGCACCCAGCTCTCACTGAGCACCCAGCTGTCCCCAGTGGTCCCTCCATGGTGCCAGGGATTATTTGGCGTAGGAAGGCAGTTCTCTGAGCCCTGGAGGAGCTCCTCGTCCATGAGCGTCCGTCCGTCCTTCCTCATACGTTAGTCGTGAGCTCTAGACTCTGTTAACTACTTAGATGTGCTTGACTTTTTAATAGATTAGCTCACTGAGAGCCCTCCATCACCCAGAGAGAAAGGAATTGTCGCACTTTACAGATGAGGAGGAAATTGAGGCAACTACTTGTTCCAAGCAGTATCTCAGTGTCTTTTTGTTGTTGCAAGTTTGTTGTAAGTGGTTTGACCCCTGGAGAAAAGCTTCTAGCGCGGGGGCGATGAATCTAGGCAGCGTCTCATTCCTGGTCAGCAAGGCACATTCAGCAGAAATGACCCAGGAGGGAGGAAGGAAGCTAACTATGTTTAATTTAATTTAGTTTTATTTTAGCTCCTACCCAGAAGTATGATGCTTTTTAGTTTTTCCTACAATCCCAGGAGAGCTGGATGTGACCATTCCCATTTCATAGATGAGACCATGGAAGCTTCAGGGTCACATTTCCACTACACAGAGGAATCATGTTAGGGCTCCCAGCCCGTGAGCTCCCCATGGAGTATGATTACCAGCCTGGGCAGAACCCTTGTCCTCTGGGGAAGTTCTCCATAGAATTGGGTGACCTGTAGCTCTTAGCGTCTATGCCAGAAAAACCAAATGACTTCACTTCTAGGTGGCTTTTCCTTCTTTGGGGAAGGAATGTGCAGGCCACTCATGAGAGCTCTAGCTCACTGAGGTCTGTGCGCTGTCATATCTGCGAGGCCAGAGTCAGACTCCAGACGTGGGGGTGGGGAGCAGGCTGTTCCCACACTGGCCTCCTGGGGTGGGTGTTGTTGTGCAGTAGCCCTGCTAACTCAGTCCATTTTTCCCTCTCTGGAAGGGCGAGGTCCAGGACCTGCCTTTGTCTGGTGTCGTCCTTGTGAAACAGAGGCTCATTTTTAGCTTTGTTTTACTGATGTGGGAGCCAAGGCCCAGTAAGGCCAGCCAACAGCTCTAGGGTTATGCAGGCCGTCACTGACAGAGCTTGCAGGGCCGGGCAGTTGCTGAAGTCTCTGGGACGGGAGGCTGTGGATAGCGGTAGACCTGCGGGGAGGGCAGTGGACTCTCCTTGGTGGGAGGCTAAGCAGACAGACCTAGTTTCTTCACTGGACTCCTGTGTCCATCTGACTCTCTGAGTGGCTTTTGTCTTAGTTACTTTCTCATTACTGGGACAAAGTACCACACACCCACCAGTTAAAGGAGGAAAGGTTTACTTTGGCTCACAGTTTATAGAGGTTTCATTCCATAGACAGCTGGCTCCAAGGCAGGGTGGCATGGCAGGGGAGAGACAGCTCATGGCATGGCAGTGGGAAGCATAGAGGGATCAAGGGAGGAGGAGGGATATTCATAGACCCTT